CGGGCCATCCACCTTTCCAACGCCGGCCAGGCCCAACCTGGGCCCACGGCTGCTGCATTACACCCTTCTGGCTCGGGCCAGGGACCTGGCATCGCTTGGACGTGTGCATTTTGTTTCTCGGCGAGCACCTTCGAGGAGCATCCTGGATCATCGAGCCAACAAAAACACACGAAACCGACCAAATGCACAGGGAATGGACGTCCGAGCGATGGCAAGGGGAGGTATGTGCACCCATCCCAGGCCCAGGCTCGGACGGGCCGTCTGCAGGGATTGCTCCGGTGGATGATCATCGGCGCCCGCCGACCATACAGGCAGACAGGGCTCACAAGGGCGAGCAACTTCTCAAGGGTGCCCATGCATCTCTGCCTCTCGGCCCATCCTGGCCCATGGCCATGGGACATCGTCGGGTGTTGCCAACAATGTCCCCGGCCCAGGGCTTCCCCCGCATTCCTGGGGAGGTCCAGCTGGCCTGTGGAGCACCCCGCACGAGGCTCAGAGGAAAGGCAGGAAGAATCCTGGCCAGGGGCACTTCTGGCAACGCCCGACAGGAGTAGGGTTTCGACCTGCGTCTCCCCCGTCCACACGAAGCGTTTTCGCCAGTTCCCCGCTTCGACCCGATCGAGGCGCGCGCGAGCAGAGGCGGCTGCATCGACCGGAAAACCTAAGAATCCACATGGCTTTACGCCCGCCCGCACAAGAGAGGCCATTGAAGCGCTGGGTCCCTGGGCTTTCTTGCCCGTGCAGTTTTCTCGGTGAGGTGCAGAAGAGATACAGGCGGCCCGGATTAGTAGGTCGACCCTGCCAGATCAGGGGTACCCTTGTGTCCTGTGTCTCGCGACTCATGCTTCGCACATTCCCGTGGCGATGTGGCCCTCGAAAGGGTCTCGTGTCCTCTCGCGTGTCCTCTCCGATCGAGCCCGACTGTACAAATTCCTTCCCACTTGGGCGTCCAGGGGGCCTCGCACCCGCACCGAGCACCATCGTGGTCCATTCGCGCTGCAAGGTCGCCCCCCCTCGCCCCCCCCCCCCCCCGCGTGCGCGGAGCCGCCTCTCGCGGCGCGTTTTGTGGGCAGGTCCGGGAGCGACCGACCGTGTTCCGTACCCCCGGGGGCGCCGCGCGGAGAGCCACCCTCCTCCTCATCATTTTGTTTTTTTTGTCTTCCTCCTTCTCTTTCTTTTCCTTTTGCTTCTCTTGCTCTTCCTCCTCCCTCCTGATTACCATCCTTACTCTTCCCTCTTTCTCCGTCTTGCTCCTGCTCTTCCTGACCTCGTCCTCAACCCTCCCAGTCCTCCCTCCCTCATGCTTGCGCTTCCTCCTTCATCCACCCTGGGTCCTTTGAGGGCGACGAGGAGGGGAAGGAGGAGAAGGAGGAGGAAATCTGACGTGCCAGGCCGACTGGGCTGCTCAGTTGATCGGCAGATCGGTTGGCAGGCTGGCAACTGGGCTGGTTGCTGGCTGAATGCTGGCAGGTCAAGTAGCTAGTTGCTTAGTTGATGGGCTGGTTCGCAGTCTTGCTGGCTGGTTGGAAGGCAGGCTGGGTGGCTGGCGATATTGAATGCATCGGGAGCGCGGACCAACCGGTTTTTACATGTGGTCGTGGCCCCCGGAGCGCACATCCGCTGATTTTGTTACCAGACTGTGGCCTCCTCCTCCTCCTCCTCCTCCTCCTCCTCCTCCTCCTCCTCCTCCTCCTCCTCCTCCTCCTCCTCCTCCTCCCCTCCTCCTCCTCCTCCCTCCTCCTCCTCCTCCTCCTCCTCTCCTCCTCCTCCTCCTCCTCCTCCTCCTCCCCTCCTCCCTCCTCCTCCCTCCTCCTCCTCCCTCCTCCCTCCTCCCTCCTCCCTCCTCCCTCCTCCCCCTCCCTCCCTCCCTCCCTGCCTCCCTCCTCCTCCTCCTCCTCCTCCTCCTCCCTCCTCCTCCTGTTCCTCCTTCACCTCCTCCTCCTTCTCCTCCTCCTTCTCCTCCCTCCCTCCTCCTTCCCTCCTCCCTCCCTCCCTCCTCCCTCCTCCCTCCTCCTCCCTCCCTCCTCCCCCTAGGCCCCGATCCTCCAGCGGCGGCTCCCGCCTGGCGCTCCCGTGCGCGGCCGGCGGCCCCTGCCGCGCCGTAAGCCGCCTGCGAGGGCCGCCGGCACCCCCGAGGGGCGCCGGGCTCTTCCAGACCTTGCTCTGCGGCAGCGCGGTGACCTTGCGAAAGGGCGGCTGGGCTCCCTCCTCCTCCTCCTCCTCCTCCTTCTCCTCCTCCTCCTCCTCCTCCTGCCTCCCTCCTCCTCCTCCCCCTCCTCCCTCCTCCTCCTCCTCCTCCTCCTCCTCCCCCTCCTCCTCTTTCCTCCTCCTCCTCCTCCTCGTCCTCCTCCCCCTCCTCCTCTTTCCTCCTCCTCCTCCTCCTCCTCGTCCTCCTACCCTGACACGTCGATTGAGGAATTGGCCGTTTTCGGTTCGCGAGAGGGCGTCGCGGCCGTGGTTTTTGCGGGTCCAGGTCCGTCGGTTTCGGTCCTGGGCCGTTTCACTAAAGGGTGGTTTACTAAAGGGAGGTTTGTCCACCGCCAATCTTTGTGTTCTCTGCTTTCCCTCCCTCCTCCTCGCCGTCGCACCCCAGACGTGTCGGTAGGGCGGGCCAGACGTTTCGTCGGAGATTTCCTCACCATTTCTGATCTTGAAGCTTGACTTCCGCAACAGTTTCACGGATGGAGGGCGGGCCGTTTGCAACATATGGCTCTCGCTTTAGCGACGCGCTTATTCGCTTTGAACATTTGCGAAAGTTTCACGGATGGAGGGCGGGCCGTTTGCAACATGTGGCTCTCGCATTAGCGCCGCGCTTTCAGGGATCAAGGGCGGTTCTTTTTCAAAGTGTGGTTCTCGCTTTAGCGCCGCGCACATTCGATTTGAATGTCTGCAACAGTTTCAAGGATCCGCATGGTCGAAGTCTCAGGAATTGCGTTCTAGCAAGGTTTTGGATTCCCAGAGAAAACAGTCATGTTGATCCGCGGTGTTGAAGTCCCGGGAATGATGCTAGTTTAAGCTTGTAAGGCCCCATGAAGACAAAACTTGGATGGAGGATGTATTTCAACATCGCTGATGCGCCTTAGGTTTACACTGGTCCTCCTCCTCCTCCTCGCTCCTCCTCCTGCTCCTCCTCCCTTTTTTTGTCCTCTCTCCTCCCTCCTCTTCGCTCCGCCTCCTTCCCTCTTTTCCTTCCTTTCGTCCTCGACCTCAAGAGCAAGATCGAGCTGGATTGTTCATCGGGCCTAATATTCTTGCGATTCGACGCCGCACCCGCAGCTCCCCAAGCGGTACCCATGTGCGATCATGTTTCGTGCATCCTCGGCTTTCGGGAACCAATACCGTTCAGCCCTGAACTCCCCGCGGGCCGCATGCCGGGTGACACTCCCCTGGCCCACACATGACCAGCAGAAGGGGTTGGCGGAGCGGGAAACTCTGGGGAAGCTTCGACAGGGTACCAGACATGTTGACCTCCTAGGGTGTTTCCGGATCTCCGTGCACAGGCAAAACCTTTACCTGCATGGGCCAGTTTTTTCCTGCTCCTTCTCCTCCTTCTCCTCCTTCTCCTCCTTCCCCTCCTTCTCTCCTCCTCCTCCTCCTCCTCCTCCTCCTCCTCCTCCTTCTCCACTCATGATGGACATCTTCCATCACTGGAGTGCGTCGGGCGACTCAGCGCGCGCAGCGACGGGTCCTTTAAGAGGGAGGAGGAGGCATAGGAGGAGCCGTGTACACGCGTCTGGGCAAGTACCGCCGCGCCGGCAAAGAGGTGCGCCGCCTGCTGGACGTCGAGGGCCGATCGCGCAAGCTTGCGTGCAGATGCTCATTCTGCTCCGAGCTGTTCGCAGCATGCTGCGCAGCAGACGGTCCGCAGGCGCTCTTCCTCATGCTGCGCGAAACGGTGCACGGCCCCGCCTCTGCCGACGAGATCAGGAGGCTGAGGGGGAGAGATGGTTGCGCGATCCCCGCAGACCTCGTCATAAATCGCGCGTCCGTCTTCAGCGCCCTGCTTATGGACCCGGTCCGGCCGCCATCCGAGAACAGCATTGGTGGCCACCCGCGGCTAACTATTCGGCCAGCTTCGCACCGAGCAGCTTGAATGATTTGCTCTGGCGCGACACTCGGGGGGCGCGGGCCGACCCCACGACTGATGGCAGCATGGGCCGAGAGCTCATCCTTAGCGTGATGGGCGGCCAGATCAGCTATGACCATGCCGCGGTCAAGTTCAGCGATCAGAAGCTGAAACAGGTTGCCCCGAGCTCACACCATTGCTCACCCACGCAGACATGAAGAGATGACTCTCGTGACTGTGTCACGAGGTCACGCGGAGGCGGAGGGCAGATATACGCCATCAGCGGACGAGATCGATGAGTGGAGCAGTCTAGTGCGCGGGCCCACCCGGACTGTGTTCGGGTAGTTCGCGGGTCTTGAACAGGCGCTCCTCTAATAATCTCGCATCTTTTCAGGTGGGGGGATCGGTTTGCCTGCTTCGGCTAGTCCGGCGGGCTCGGGCGGGAGCACTTCCATTCCTGCCACTAGCGCCGTAACATGTTTTTGCGGTTGGCGCCGCGGGGGTCAGCGCACCCTCGGAACGGAGTGAAGTCCGCCAACCCAGGGACATGACGAAACCAGGTGGCTGTGTCCCCTCGCGGCCAGGCAACTTTTTATGAGTGGGGCGGCTCATAAAGCCCTCCTGTTCTCCTGAAAGCTGTGAATGCAGGACGGATTTGCTACAGCACCAAACTCGAACGATGACCCCTTGTCCAGCGCCCTGTCTCTTTCCTTTGCTGGCCCTCGGCGCTATCTTGGCTCAAGGCCTGATCCGTGCACTTCGCCCGCCTTATACTCGACTTCCAAGTTCGCCCTAGACCATCATGCGCTGTTCTTCGTTCACAGAAAACTTCGTTTTCTTACATCTTCATTTCTCTTCCTCCTCCTCCTCCTCCTCCTCCTCCCTCCTCTCCCTCCTTCTTCATCGTCCCGTCTCCCTCGTCCTCTGCCATTCGGCTCAGGCTGCTGGGTCGGAAGCTTATGTTCGTCGACGCCGCCAGTGGTGCCCACTACTCCGTGTCGCCTCCGTCCTCCGAGTGGGAGGGCCGCTCGATGAGCTCTGCGGCCACGGCGGGCGACAGCTCGCTCGAGAGCGAAAGCTTCGTCAGCATCGCAAAGTTCATGGCGACCGAGATCGGGCGCGCCGCCGTGGATGCCGTGCAGGGGGCCAAGGTCCGAGGACACATGATCATCATGCTTGCCAGCACATGCCGAAACATAGCGAGCTATTACACTGTGGATGTGCGCGGTTGCGTGGTGCAAACTATGTGGTGCCAGCTGCGCGTCGTAAGCTGCGCGGCGCATGTGTGGTGATAGGTAATGCGGCAACAGCTATGTGGTGCAAGCTACGCGGAGCAATCTAGTTTGTGCACATCCGTGCCATGGGCTATTCACTGCCAGCGGATGCGCCAGGGGGCTGCTCTGGGGTTGCGCTTCGTCGCAACAAAACAGGAGTGGTGCAATGTGTGTGGTGTGTGCGTGTGTGTGTATGTGTGCGTGTGTGTTTGTGTGTTTGCGTGTTTGCACCCGTGTCCGTGTTTGTGTTTGCGTTTGCGTTTGTGTTTATGTTTGTGCATGTGCATGTGTATGTGTGTGTGTGTGTGTGTGTGTTCGGCTGTCCCCCCCTCTTGTCCCCCCCCTCTCTTTGCCCGCCGGCCAATTTGCTAGTGAACGCCCGTTTTTACCTTTTCGCTGGAGCGCAGTTCGCCGCCTCGCCGTTGACGAAAAGTGTGTGTGTGTGGTGTGTGTGTGTGTGTATGTGTGTGTGTGTGTGTGTGTGGGGTGTGATGTGGTGTGTGCGTGTGCGTGTGCGTGTGCGTGTGCGTGTGTGTGTGTGTGTGTGTGTGTGTGTGTGTGTGCGTGTGTGTGTGTTGTGTGTGTGTATGTGTGTGTGTGTGTGTGTGTGTGCGTGGGCGCGTGCGTGCGTGTGTGTGTGTGTGTGTATGTGTGTGTGCGTGTGCGTGGGCGCGTGCGTGTGCGTGTGTGTGTGTGTGTGTGTGTGTGTGTGTGTGTGTGTGCGTGTGTGTGTGTGTGTGTGTGTGTGTGTGTGTGCGGGTGCGTGTGCGTGCGTGCGTGCGTGTGTGTGTGTGTGCGTGTGTGCGTGTGCGTGCGTGTTTGTTCGGGGCAAGCTGTGTGGTGTAAGCCGTGCGGCCGTCCAAGGGCGCCCGCGAGGCGCCCGCAGGACGTCGCGGGCAGACCCCCGGCGAGACCTCGGCACGCCCACCCAACGCAGGGGGCGCCCACGAGGCGCCCGGCGCCCACTGGCACTTCTGCCAAGCGCACAGGGGGCGCCCAGGACGCGCCCACGACCAGCAACCAGCCGGGCACCGGGCAAAGCCACGACGGATCCATCCAAATATCCAGCTGCGTGCAGCAGGTCCCGCCACCGTGCCAGCCCAGCGTCGTGGATGGCGACTGCTCGGGCGGCGCAAAAGAGGCCGCAACGCGTAACCCTTCGTTTCCCGAGGCTTGGGAGGGCCGCGACATGTGCCACACTCTTCCGAGTCGTATCGGGGGGTCTCTTCTCGTCTTCCTTCGTTTCTTCCGCCTGTTTCGGGGGTTCCTGGGGAGCAGTCTTGGGGGGTCCTTTGACCACTTTGCGCCCTCTTGGGCCGCCTTGGGGTCGTCAGGGGGTGTCTCTTGCAGCCGTCTTGGGCTGCCGTCGAGGAACGCTGTGAAGCCGTCGCGGGTCCCTACAGAGACCCTCTTGGGTCGGCTCGGGGCATTCTCGGGGCCGTCCTGGGCGGGCCGTTTATAGGACCCTCTTGAGCTGTCATGGGGACATCTTGGAGGATTATTGGGCCAGTTTGGGGCTCTCTCTGGGCCGTTTCGGGGCGATGTTAGAGGCCTTTAGGGCCGTTCGGAGCTGAAGGGAAGCCGAAAAAGTGAAAACGCAACAATCTGTCATCGAATAATTACGGGGAAATGACCTGCGCTTCTTCGGGTCCTGCTGGGGGTCCTCTTGTGGCCCCCTTGTGCTGTCTTGGGGGCCTCTTGGGCCACCTTGGGGCCATGATGGGCTGTCCTGGAGGTATCCCAGGCGATCTTAATAGGTTGCCTCAGGAGTGTGAAGGATGGTGGCTTTGGGAGCGCGGACCCACAATTTTTCAACAATGGAGCGTGGACTCCGCAGCGCGGCGGACCCATAGTTGTTTCGAAGGAAAGGGGAGGGCGATTCACGCACCCGGATGCGATGCGTGCGGGGGCGGGGCACTTCGTAGAATCTACAGAAATCCTACGCACCAGACAGTCCCTGGCACTCTACCACGCCCCCACGCGCCAGGGTGCACGGTGGCGGACTCAGGAACGCAAGTAGTAACCCCCCAGTGCAGACATTGCTGGGGAGGGAAAACACAAACTTTTGGAGGTCCGCGCGGGTTTCTTGGATCGGCGCTGGACCCCACTGGCGGCAACTCTGGTGCCGCGGGTCCACGGCCGATCCAAGAAGTCTGGGCGGTCCTCCGAAGGATTCATTGGCCGACGCCGCGCCGCCAACCCCTTGGGGCGGCAGTGAGAGAGTGAAAAACGGAGTTCGCGGAACGCGCGCGATGTCTGTGGAATTTTGGGGTCTCGGCTTCTTGGGATTTCGTCGGGGGCGGTTGGCGGATCGTCGGCAACACCCCAATATACTTATACTATATGTGTGTCGCCCCCCCAGGGGCGACGCGCGCACCGAGAAATCTTATAGTATATGCGTCGTGGCGGGCGCTTTCTGGCCACACCGCTCGGGAAACGATATACTACAAAATGGGTATACTATATGTTCGGGTCGGACGCGCGCCTCCAAGGAGGACATATAGTATTAGTATGTCCATGTGTGTCCCAGATCGCGGCTCTGCGCTTGGGCTTCTGTGGGCTCTCCCTGGGAGCATTTCTGAGGCCTCTTGTGGGCCGTGTTGAGGCCTCTGGGGGCCTCTTTCGGGCCTCTGGGGGGCCTCGTGGGAGCCTCTTGGGGGCCTCATGGCGCCTCCTCAGGTTTTTTCGCGGCCGAGGTCTCCAAATGTCCACTCGGGTTCCCCCTCTGAGCCTCCTCTTAGGGCCGTCCTGGGACCCTCCTGGGCTTTTTTGGAGGCTTCTGGGGCCGTCTTGGGGCCCTCTTGGGCCGTCTTGGAGCCCTCGTGGGGGCCTCTTGGGCATCTTGGGTCGATCTTGAAGGCTTCTTGTGGCCGTTGTGGGCCTCGTGAAGGCCCACGAGACGAATGTGCTAGCAATATACGTTTTCCCTCGGGAAGGCGACGATTTTTGTTCCTGAAGGGCCTCTTGGGACGCCTCTTGCTGGCTTCTTGGGACGTCTTGGGGGCTTCTGGGGCCATCTGGAGGCAATCTTGGGCGTCTTGGAGCGATCTTTCGGCGACACGTAGCCCTTTTGGACCGTCCCGGGGGCCTTTTGGGGCCCTCTTGGCCAGTTTTGGGGCCCCCTGAGGCTCCAAGGGTGCGGCTGGCACTTTTGCCCCCCGCCCCCCCGCCGCCTCCAAACTGGCCGGACCGGGCTCCCAGGGGAGGGGTTTGGGGAGGGGGAGCATCTCACACGCCGTGAGCCCAGGGGGTCGGCGGATTGTGTCTGTGGAGTACTCTCTTGCTCCTCCACGTCGAAGAGCGAAGCTCCTAAGCATGTGCTTTCGGAGCTCCGCGCGGACTTCTCGCATCTGCGCTGGGCCCCCTGGCGGCGCCTCCGTCGTCGCCCCTGGCGCGCCCCGCGCGCCAGGGAGGGGGCGTCCAGCGCAGATCCAAGAACTCCGCGCGAAGCTCCGAAAGTTGATGTTTACGCAGTCGTTCCTTCCTCCCAGGGCTGGACCTAAACGCTGTTTTTGGTGTTTTCGTGGGCCGATTTCGTTTCGACTTCGTTTTGCGGCAAAGGCGGATTCGAGACAAAAGCGAGGGAAAACGAAAACATAACGAAAACGATAACATAATGAAAACGAAAAACACCCTTTAGGTTCAGCCCTGCCTCCTCCCCCAGAAAGGCTAAGACGGCAGCCGTGATCTCGAGCAGGGGCGTCCAGGTGGCCGCGGCCTCCGCCGTAGGCGGTGCCGTCCTCGTCGGCGGCGCCTCGGGCATGCTCGGGCTCACGCTCGGCGGCGCGGGCGGCGCATTTGTGGGCGTGGGCCCGGCGCTCTTCTCGGGGGCTGCGAGGGTTGCCCCTGGCCTTGTGGAGGACGATCCGTGGAGAGGAAGCATGTTGCCGAATAATTTCTAGATGTCTCAAATATGTGTTAAAACTGTTTAAGCAAAACAAATACGAAAACATGTTTCAAACATTTTCAGGACATGTTTCCTACTTCCTACATTTTAAGCACATGTTTGATCCGATGATCGGACTGTTAGGGTGTCCATGGTCGTGGCATCCACAACCCTGGCCCAAGGCGTCCCCGGCCTTTCGCTCCATGCTGGAGCCCCCCGGCGCCCTCGAGGCCGCGTGAGGGCTGCGCCAGAGGACGCAGCGGCTTCTCTCTGGGAACCCTGGAAACAATTTTGTCGGGCTGATCCAAGGAGGAGGAGGAGGAGGAGGAGGAGGAGGAGGAGGAGGAGGAGGAGGAGGAGGAGGAGGAGGAGGAGGAAGAGGAGTCCAGGAGGAGGAGGAGGAGGCGGAGGAGGAGGTGGAGGAGGAGGAGGAGGAGGAGGAGGAGGAGGAGCAGGAGGAGCCGGGGCCGGAGCAGATCGCTCCAGAGCGTTTCGGAACGCCCGCAGAGTGTTCTGGAGCGCACTGGAACGGCCGGGGCGTCCGGATAATTCCTGCCTCCGGCACCGCCAGACCTCAGAGGTCCCCGATGTGGCTTGGCCCGACGTTGTCCCGGTCCTGGCTTCGTCTCTCTGGGCCTCCCAGATTGGGTCCGAGTGGACGGGGCCAGAGGGTCGCACCGCGTCGCCGACGCATCGGCGATGCGGCTCGACGCCGGCGGCGGCGATGCATCGCCGATGTCGCCGATGCATCGCCGATACATCGTCGATGCATCATCGATGCGGCGCGTTCCGCCGACCCCACCCGCTCGGACCCCCTTTGGGAGGCCTCTGCTTGGCATCGCTCGGGCGTGTGCACTCTTCTCGGCGAGGCCAGCACCAGGAAGTCTGGGCCCTCTACCTTTGAGTCGGGCCTGTCCCTACAGGGGGAATATTCAAAAATAGTAATAGTATGAGGACGATTTTTGACTGTTTTTGAATTTTTTTGGGGTATTTTTTGTAGTATTCTTTACTTTTCGCCCACAATCCCCCTGAAAGGGGACACGCCCGACTTAAATCTACCCGGGAGCACCCTGAACCACCCTGCGGCACCAAACGCGCGAGACCGAAGCTGCGCGGGGGGAATTGGACGTCCGAGCGACGGCGGGCCCAGCCTTGCCTTGGGGCCCCGGGCAGCGCCCGACCCTCACCTTCGGCCTCAGCATCCCCGTCTTCGCGGCCCTCGGCGGGGGCCTGGGCCTTCTCGTGGGCGCGCCCGCAGGCGGCGCCGCGGGCGCGGTCGGCGGCGGCGCCGCGGGCTACGTGGCGCACGCCAAGCGCGCGGAGGTCGCCAGCCTCGCGGGCAGGGGCCGCGCCCGGGCCGAGGCCGCGGCGCAGGCGGCCTGGGCCGGCGCCGCCTCGAGGCCCTCGGGGGCAACCTCCCTCCTCCCTCCTCCCCCCTCCTCCCTCCTCCTCCTCCTCCCCCCTCCTCCTCCTCCTCCTCCTCCTCCTCCTCCTCCTCCTCCTCCTCCTCCTCCTCCTCCTCCTCCTCTCCTCCTCCTCCTCCTCCTCCTCCTCCTCCTCCTCCTCCTCCTCCTCCTCCTCCTCCTCCTCCTCCTCCTCCTGGCGCCGCCCTGGGGGGTCCCCGAGTCCGGAGGGACCCCCCGGGCGAGCGGGCACGCGCGCCCACGGCCGCGCGGGCGCACCCGCCCGCGCGCGCGCCGGGCCCTCACGGCTGCCCGCCGCCGGCGGGCCCGCGCGGGGGCCGGGGTGGGCCGCCGCCGCCGCCGCCTCCTCCTTCCCGCTTCCCGCTTCGTCTCTTCCTCCTCCTCCTCCTTTTCCTCCTCCTCCTCCTCCTCCTCCTCCTCCTCCTCCTCCTCCTCTCTCCCTCCCTCCCTCCCTCCCTCCCTCCCTCCCTCCCTCTCTCCCTCGTGGAGGGGGCGGGGGCAGGCTCGAAGCCTCCCTCGTGCCTCGGGGGAGGCCCCAGCATGCACGAAGGCGCTGCCATAATTAGGCAGTCTGTGCGCTCCGTCGCCGAGTCGGCCGGCACGGACCTCAGGTTTCGGGGTCGGGAGCCTCGAGTCGGGGGTCAATGCAAACAGGGGTCAGCCAGGGCACCGGATCCTGCAGGGTCCTGCGCTGCAGTTTTTTTGTCCTGCGCTGCAGTTTTTTTCCTGCATTGCAGTTTTTGGTTTCCTGCTGACCCGGGTCTGGATGGACCCGGGTCACAAGATCCCCGACGGGGGTGCTTTCCTCGATCCATGGTGGCTCAAGCAGTGGCGAAGCGTCCCGGCGTGCCTCGAGTCCTACAAGGCAATGCTCTGAGAACCTTTTTGTGGTGCCCACGAGATGCTCTCAGAGCATGTCTGGCCAGGACTGTCTTGTTTCTATCACATCGGGCCTGTGTTCTAAGAACAACACTGTTTTGGTTCTTAGAAATGTTTGGGTTACGAACATTTCGTGGCAGGGCCAGAGGAATGCCGGGGCGGTCGGTCCCTGCTCGGCCCTGCTGGCGTGCGCCCGAGTCTCCGGCGCGCGGCTCCTCGAAGCGGAGCGGCGCAGCCAGGCGGTGCCTCCCTTGCCCCTCCCCTCCCTGCTCTTGCGCGCGCGTGCTGGCAGCAGGCTTTGAAGGCGTTCCTTTTCCTGTGCAAGCTCCTCAGCACCGCCTGCACCCCGGCCCGCCCTTCGGCCGCCTGAGGCCCCGCCCGCCAGTGCTCTGTCTCCCCAATTCGTGCTTTGCGCGGCCCGCCTAGCTCTTAACCGGAAGAGGCTCGCTCTCGACCCGCAGACCAACAAAAAAGTGTGCGAACACTTTTTTGATCTGCGGGGCGTGTGCGAACCTCTTCCGCTGAAAGCTAAGCGGGACGCGCACAGCTTTAATTCACAGGGAACGGGGCGAAAGAAGGCGGGGCCTCACGGCGGCCGGGGGAGGGCGAAGCCCGGAGAGCAGGCGGTGCCGAAGATGACGGTGCCAGGAGGTACACCTTGGACAGGAGCCCGGTGGCGAAGTCCCGGGAGGTAGGAGGCCAGTGGTGGTGCCGTCAGCGGCGCTCTGAAAACACCAATCTCGCGAACTGCGGTAGAGGACGCGCCACGTCACCATGTTGACGCCCGAGAGGAAGAGGAACACCACTCGCGTGTGCGAACACATCCATATCTTTAAGTCGGGCCTGTCCCTCTACAGGGGGAATACTCAAACATAGTCCAGAAATAGTCAGGGGACTTTTTTGGAGCCTTTTTTGGCCATTGTGGCATATTTTTGGAGTATCTTTCATTTTTCGTCGAGAATCCCCCTGTAGGGGGACACGCCCGACTTAACCAGATCCACGGTCTCGCAGGCCGGGATTCTGGGCCGCGACCCCGCGGATGCGGGGCGCTGTTCCGCGCGGCACCTGTGCCCGCGTGTCCGCGGGGTCGCGCCTCGGAGTCTAGGCTGCGAGGGCGCGTGCATGGGCGCGTTCGCCGCTCGTGAGAGAGGGACAGCCGCACAGGGTCAGGGGCGACGTTAGGATCGACTACTTGTAAGAGTGACCTTTCGCCTTGGGTTTTGCTCCCTCGCGCCCCCGAAAGCTGCGCACGAAAAGTCACTCTTACCCAGGGTCACTCTTACTCCTAGACGACAGGAGGGGACAGGCTCAGGGGGGACTCGATGAAGAACAAAAGCGGCGCAAACATCAACCTTCGGAGATCCGCGCGGATTTCTTGGACCTGCGCTGGGCCCCCCTTGGCAACACGGAGCTCCGCAAGTGTATGTCTGGGCGGGTTTTTGTTTCCCCAGGCGAGCTTACTGGGGAATAGGCTTGAGGTTGGAGGCTTTCGGGCATTTTCGTGGTCCTCGGCTGTTTTCCAGCCTCAGGGTGTGCGGGCAAGACATATATCCATACCCAGTGCGTCTTGAACTTTTTTGGAAGAAGCGCTTCAAGGCAGAGGCGCACTGGACATGGATAAAAACCTAGCCTCTTGCGGTGGGCAAATTTGTCCACTTACAGTGTGCCTCGGGCTTCTGGGGAAGGGAGCCCGAAACTCCATACTGCAGTGGATACAGTGCCGTTTTTAATACATGCTCCGCGTGCGGATCATGTATTAAAAATGCATGGTTTAGTAGTAAAAACAACGATGAGTTCATGCATCAACTTGTTCATACATATTAATCATGTATCAAAAATCCTATATTAAAAAATCCTATGTACTAAAAACTGCCCTGTATAAACAGAAGCAGTGCCCGCAGGGTGCTTTCCAGCGGCTGCGGCCTCGCCGGGAGCCTTCCGCGGGGGGCCCGGCTCGTCCCGAGCGGTCGCCGTCCGAGGGTGCTCGAATCGTCCCGACCAGGCGCCGGAGGGCCGAGTTTTGACCCGAAAGCCAGGGGGGCAACGCTTCAGGAAGGGAAAAACAGCACAGGCACAATTCATCGTCGATCCCCTGGGAAGATATGGGAAAAGATGGGAAGTGGGGAGAGTGGGGGGGAAGACAAGAACCCTGAAAATATGTGAAAATATGGGGAATCCAGTTACTTGTGTCTACTTATTTGTGTGTCCCAGGGCCCCTTTATAATCGTCCGTTCATCGCTGGTAGGGGCCCGATAGCCCCACCTCGCCCAGGAATGTGCGGACTCGCTGTCGGGGGCCTTTCCCCGATCTCTCGGCGAAGTATCGCCGATTTCCAGCTCGACGTCGTCTCTCCCCCGTCGGCCAGGTCCCCCTCTTCACATTTCCCCTCAGGTCTGCGGCTGCCGTGAAGCTCGCGGTGGCGACGAAGGAGGACGCCAAGGCCCTGGCCTTGACCTCGGTGGCCACCGCCCAGCAGAAGTTCGCGGAGGGCCGCGAGGCCACGTCCACGGGGCTGGCGGTGGCCAAGGCGAAAGGCATAGAGCTGGCGTGCGACCGCAGCGTCCAGGTGGGCGCAGTGTCCGCAGCTGGAGGCGCCGCCACCTGTGGCACTGCAGGAGCGGTGGCCGGCCTGTGCACCGGCACCATGACGAAGAAGCAAAAACGGCACCTCCGCAGGTTAGCTTCAGGAGGAAAAAGAACGCACAGACACAATGAATCGTCGATCCCCCCAGAAAATATGGGAAGATATGGGAAGTGGGGGGGAGGACAGAAAACCCAGAAAATATGGCAAAATATGGGGAATCCTGTTATTCGTGTCTATTTATTTGTGTGTCCCAGGGCCCCTTCATTGTTGGATCGGCGCCAGACGCCCTCCAGCACGCGGAGCGCGCCATGGGCGCCGGCGGAGGCACCGCAGAGGGGGGACCAGCGCCGATCCAAGAAATCCGCGCAGACCAGCGACAGTTCATTCCCTGAACAGCTTGACTGTAAGTGTCTTATATAATCGTATGTATGTAATGTATGTATGTATGTATGTGTGTATGTGTGTAATGTGATGTGATGTGATATAATGTAATGTAACGGAAGGTAGCGTATGTAATGGAACGTATTGTAGTGTAATGTAATGTACTGTAATGCAATGTATTGTATTGTTTGTAATGTAGTGTAATGTATGTCTGCATGTATGTATGGATGCATGGATGTATGCATGTCTGTTTGTCTGTCCGTGTGTATGTATGTAGGTAATTCGTGTGTGTATGCATGTATGTATGTATATATGTATGTTTGTATGTGTGTATGTAATATGTACATGTACGTATGGACGGATGGATGTAAGGATGCATGTGCATATGTAATGTGTATATGTATGTATGTATGGATTCATGGACGGATACACGTATGCATGTATGCATGTCTACGTATATATGCATGCAAGTATGTAAACATGCACATTCACATGTATATGTGTATGTAGATGTGCATGTACTTGTATCTACATATATATTTATTTAAAGATATATTTATACAGACGTATGTATGTATATATGATATATATGTATGTATGTATATGTGTGTCTGCATATGTGTATGCATGTGAACGTGTGCCTGCATGTATGTATGCATGCATGCATGCATACATGTATGTATGTATGTATGTATGTGTATGTTCGTATGCATGCATACATGTATGTATGTATGTGTGTATGTATGTGTGTATGCGTGTATGCGTGTACGTGTGTATGTATGTATGTATGTATGTATGTAAGGACGGGTGGATAGACGGATGGATGCATGTATCGATGTGTGTATGTGTGGATGTGTGTATGTATGTATGCATGTACGTAGATATGTATGTATGCATGTAGGTATGTATATGGGTATGTCTGAAGTTATGTATGTAGGTAATGTATGCATGTATGCATGTATGCATGTGTGTATGTATATGTATATGTATATGTATATGTATATGTATATGAATATGTATATGTATATGTATATGCATATGTATATGCATATGTATGTGCATATGTATATGTATATATATATGTATATGTATATGTATATGTATATGTATACGTACATGTACATGTATGTGTATATGTATGTATTTATATATATATATATATATATATATATATGTGTATATGTTTATGTTTATGTGTGCATGCATGTATGCATGTGCGTATGTATGTATGCATGTATGTATGTATGTATGTATGTAGGTGTGTGTATTTGTGTATGGATGTACGTGTGTTTGTGTATGTGTATGTGTGTTCTATGTATGTATGCATGGATGGTTGCATGCAAACATGCATGAAGATATGTGTATGCGTATATGTCTGTATGTATGTCGGTGGACATACCTGTATGTATGTATGCAGGTATGTATGCATGTATGTATGTATGTGTGCATGTGTATGTGTATGTACGTATGTATGCATGTATGTATGTATGTATGCATGCATGCATGCATGTATGTATGTATGTATGTATGTATGTATGTATGTGTGTATACATGCGTGTATGCATGTATGTATGTGTATGTGTATGTGTATGTGTATGTGTATGTGTATGTGTATGTGTATGTGTATGTGAATGTGCATGTGCATGTGTATGTGTATGTATATTTGTATGTGTATGTGTATGTGTATGTGTATGTGTGTGTGTCTGTGTTTGTGTTTGTGTATGTGTATGTGTATGTGTGTGAATGTATGTATGTATGTATGTATGTATGCATGCATGTATGTATGTATGTGTGTGTGCGTGTGCATGTATGTATGTATGTATGCATGCATGCATGCATGCATGCATGCATGTATGTATGTATGTATGTATGTGTGTATAGATGTGTGTATGCATGTATGTGTGTACGTATGTGTTTATGTATGTACGTAAGGAATGTATATACATATAACAGACACCGAGTACGAGGTACCGTGATCCTGAATCGGTCGGACGCCGATTGTCTCCCGCTGGTGATTGTTTTTTACTCATTGTTTTGCCGATCGGCGCGGGCCCTCGCACCCCCTCCCTCCCCCCCCCATGGAGTTGATCTTTGCTGTTTTTCGAGCGGGTGGAGTCCCCCCTCCCTTCCCCTTCCGCCCAATGTCGAAATGCCGAATAAGAAAACGCTCACCAGTCTCACGTTGTCTCCCGTTGTCGGCCGTTGTCTCCCGTTGTCTCCCGTTGTCTCCTGCTGTCGTCTCCCGTTATCTCTCGTTTTCTCCTGTTGTCTTCCGTTATCTCCTGTTGTCTCCCGTTATCTCCCTATCCCTAGCCCTCTATCCTTATTCCTATTTTTTTTTGCCCCTAGTCGGTATCCCTATCCATATCTCCATAGCTATGCTGCGTTCACTACAGGTGTCGCCGTATATGCACCTCTCTCCGGCCCATGTTTGAAGCTGTTCAGGGTCTTCAGCCGCAAGGGTGTAGTGCTCACTCGCCCAACAGTGCTTGCGCCATGGATTCACACTTGCGTTCCTGAGCCCGCCACCGTGCCCCCTGGCACGTTCAAGCCCCTCCAGAAGTTTCTGCTTTTGCCGCATTTCCTTCTTCTGCCATCGTCGGGGGCGCCTTAGGCGTCGTCCCCGCCATCTTCACCTTCGGCCTCTCCATGCGGGTGTTGCCAGAGGTGTCTTTGGCCCAAGGCGTCCCCAGCTCTTCGCTCCACTTTGGGGCCCCTGGCGGCCCTCTGGGCCCCGGGCGGGGCGCTGTGGAGGCCACCTGGGAGCTGGGCCTCCCCGGAAATCTTGGGGACGCCTTGGGCCAGTCCCAGACATCTGACGTCTCGATTTTTTCGAGACGCGGGCCCCCGACCTCCCGACCACTTCCCTGGGACCGGCTTTTCATCCCGAGTCGTTTTTTGACGGTCCCAAGGCCCGGCGACGGCCCCGAGAAGCCAAAAGTTATGAACACTTTTTGTCTCGATTTTTTCGAGACGCCCGATGTCTGGGGAGGCACCTGGCAACCAGCCCGACCCATCCCCATCGGCGCAGCCATCGGCGGCAGCTGCGGCCTGGCCGCCGGCGCGGCCGCGGGCGGCGCCGTGGGCCTCGTGGGCGGGGGCGCCGCGGGGTACGGCGCCCACGCCAGGCGCGACGAGATCGGCGTCAGGGTCAAGGGGACCATCTCTAAGGTTCGGAGGTTGATAGACCTCCTACCCTGACACGTCGATTAAGGAATTGGCCGTTTTCGCTTCGCGAGAGGGCGTCGCGGCCGTCATTTTTGCGGGTCCAGGTCCGTCGGTGTCGGTCCCAGGCAGTTTTCACTAAGGGGAGGTTTACTAAAGGGAGGTTTGTCCATCGCCGAAAGGTGAATGAAGGAGCCGAGTACATGAAGGCTGGGATGCAACCCCTGGGAGCTTCAATCCGGCATGGGTGCTGGTGCATCCGTGGTCGAAGGCCGGCCTGATCTGGCACGGTCCCGCTCGATCCTGCCAAACCCCGCTCAACCTGCCCTGATCCCAGGCTTAATCCAGGCTGATCCAGCCTACTGGCCCCCTCGTCTGGCTTATAGTAGGATGCAATCGTTACTACGGAGACCTCCCAGAAGTTGCTTCCTCATGCAGGGCAAGGCCTCCACCTCTGCGGCATACGTCCGCGCCAGGGTGGTGGGTGGCACCGGCGGCACGGACTGAGCGCTGCACCCCGAGGGCACACGCGGCGGAGGCGCGACCCCACGCCGCGATCCCCTGGCCTCCCGCGCTCCCGCCTGGCGCCGCCCAGCCGCCCCAGACTTCCGACGGACTGGCTGCCTCTGCGACCATCTGCGAGCCTCACCCCTACGGGTCCCATCGACGCTGGGGTATCGGACAGCCCCGCTGGGGGCTCGCCTGGCTGCAGGCACCCTTCAGTTTCTGAACCCCTGCCGTGTTTGAAAGAATCTGACCTGCAGGGGTAGGGTTCACATGGGCGCCTGACGAACTCGGGGTCGTCTGCACCGACACTGGCGCTTAAGCTGCCTGCGTAAGATGGCGCCAGCGCCCTCGTACCCACTGTAGCGTGCCGCGCTGCCAGCCCGCGTAGGCCGCGGCGCCGCTACGTCTTCTCGCGACACGTTTCTGTTCGTCGCTCACATGTGGTTGCCTACTTTTTCAATCCGCGGGCCCCAGGCCCTGACCTCCTCGCGTCGTGACCGAAATCTAGGCGAAAGGTGTTTCGCCATTTGCAGCCTCAGGGGGTCTCACCAGGCCCCGGGGCCGTCCAAACACTTTGCATCGCTCGGGCGTGTGCACTTCTGTCGACGAGACCAGCGCCAGAAAATCTGGAGCATCCTGGGCCATCTTGAGAGAAAACAGAAAGCGCGCACGCAGAGAAACAGTGAGTGCATGGGGCATGGACGTCCGAGCGACGGCAAGAACAAGACTCTGGCTGCAAAGCAGGCCCCGGGGAAGGGGCCCAGACCTCTCGGGATCCGCGCCGTGAGAAAAAGGCACGGCGTCGACCCCAGGACCACGCTGTCCCACGACAGGCGTTTCGTCTCGTAAGTTGTCGCGACCTGCGGCTGCTGATGGCTCCGTGCGCGCTGTCGCGGGCGCAACGCCACGGACGGCGCCGCGCCGGGGCCCCGCCGCCCGCAGAGAGCCCCACCGAACGCCCAAGTCACGGCGTGGGAGTTCGGGGGAGCCCTCGGCCCCCTCCCTGGTGGGGCAGCCCTCGTCCAGGCTTCCCAGGACAGCCCCCCTGGGCCGCGGAGATCCTTATTTTCGTATTGGTTCGTGGTTCGTCGTGGTTCGTCCCCCTCGGCCCCTCCCCTGAGCCTGAGCCCCAGCTCCCCTGGGCCCCCCCCCCCCTTGGGACCCCCCCTCCGTCCAGGCTTCCCGTCCCGCCCGTGCCCGGCGGTTCCCGGGGCCCGCCCACGGCCCCCCCCCCCCGGAGGCCGCAGGGCAGGAGCCCCGCCCAGAGCGAGAGGCCGCCCGCGGCGTCGCTGGCACGACGGCCCTGGCGTCGCTCGGACGCGTGCATCTCTTCCTCGGCCAGGACCCTCGAGGAGCATCCTGGATCGTCGAGCGAGACAAAAAAACACGCGCACGGCATCGGAGAGGGCACGGGGAAGGGACGCCCGAGCGGTGGCCGGCGGCGTGCAGCTCCGACTGCGTCTGGCTCTGCCCCCATCGGGCTCTGCACAGGGCCGACGTGGAGCCCGCAGGATGGATCCGTTGGAAGCGTGTCACTGGTGCGGCGCGGTCCGGGTGGCTTCACAATCCTTTGCGTTTAACGTGTGTGCCTATAGATTGGTCCTCTCCTGGGGCTTCCTGGGGCCTCCTGGGGCTTCCTGGGGCCTCCTGGAGCTTCCTGCGGCTTTCTGGGGCTCCACCGGGCGCAGCGCAGCGCAGCGCGCCCACACACGGAAACGGCACCCCTGCGGCAGCGAGCCCCGAAGCAGCTGTACACAGCTGCGAGATGCGGGGCCACGGCGTGCCACCGGGCTTCGGGGGCCCCTTCTCCCGCGCCGGGCGTCGGGAGCACGAGATAGTACTACTCTCCTCCCTCCCTCCCTCCCTCCTCCTCCTCCCTCCTCCTCCTCCTCCTGCTCCTCCTCCTCCTCCTCCTCCTCCTCCTCCTCCTCCTCCCTCCTCCTCCTCCTCCTCCTCCTCCTCCTCCTCCTCCTCCTTGCGGGCAAGCTGCAGGTGTCCCGCGCGCGGCGGAGCTCCTGCTGCTCGACGCCTCGAGGCGTTCGATGCCTGGGGCCCCGCCGAGAGTCTGGCGCCAGGCTCTCCGCGCGAGCGCGGCGCAGCTCCGCGCGCCCGCGGGGCCGCCCCGCGGGGTGCCCCGGCGCGCGCGCGTTTTTTTCCGAGGGGGCTGCGTGGGCCGCCCGAGGCCGCGCCGCGCGAGGTCCGCCCCCCTGGCGCGGCCAGATCCGCGCGTCGCTGTCATCGAAGAAGAACATCGGGGGGGGGACAGAACTCCTGCCCTGACCCGCCGATTAGCGAACTGGCCGTTTTCGGTTCGCGGGAGGGCGCCGCGGCCGTCATTTCTCCGGGCCCGGGTCCGTCGGTTTCGGTCCCAGGCCGTTTTCACTAAGGGGAGGTCTACAAACGGGAGGTTACGGCATAAACTGAAGTTTTCGGTGGTCCATGTTTACGTTCATACCGTTGTTTCTTCTTCGATGTCGGCATGGCAGAGTTGTCGGCTTCTGGGGTCCGTTTCCCCCTCGGGGGGCCAGCTTTACCTCCTGAGTCGGCTCAGGACGAAAAGCCAGGCCTGGCGAAGTGATCGAGATCCTAGGATCTCGATCACTTGGTTACCAAGGGGAGCGATTTTGTATACACCACCACCAAGAAGTTCTGTTTCCGCTTCAGGAACTCCCCATGCCACGGCGCCTGCGAGCTGCGCCGCGCTCCTTTTCGCCGCGGCGTCGCAGCGTCGTCTGGCATGACCCTGCCCCTAACACTTTTTGCGGTAAATTATTGTTGCGGGCGGTGGTGGTGTATACACATTGGCCTCGCAATCCTTTGGAGTTGACGTCGCGAACAAAAATCAAAATCAAACTTGCCACGCCGGAGGCCTGTCGCGCTGGCTCCTCGAGGCTCGCCTCGCCTCTGGACGCTTTGCGACAGCCGCCCTCGTCGAGAGCCTGTCGCGGGTGCCCAGGGGGGCGCGAGGCGAGGCTCGAGAGGGACGAGGGGCCGGGGCGTCCAACCCTCACGGCGACGTCAAGGGGGGGGAGAGGCTTAGGGAGGGGGGGGGGGGGGGGGCGCACGCACCCCCCAGTCGCCCTTTTCTTGCCGATAAGGGGCTCGATGCATAGCCCCTCCCCCGCCCAAGACCGTGCGGGGCCGATCGCCCACCGATCGGCGATGCATCGCCGATCCCAGCTCTGCGGCTTGCGCCCCCTCCCCGGAGTTGCCCCTCGAACCCAGGCCTCCGCGCGTCGTGAGAAAGAGAGAGAGAGAGAGAAGACCAAAAAAACAGCAACAACAAAAACACAGCGGGAGGGTTTCGACAGTTTTGGGCCTCTCGGGGCCCTCACCTGCGATGCTCCAACCTACGTCAGCCCTGACCAGAAAAGAAAGACTCTCGAGCACCAAGAGCAAGCACCGAAACTCGAGGGTTTTCGCGTGCCGGGCCCTGGGAGACATTCGTCCGACACTGTTTCGACACTCTTTCGACACTGTTCTGGGTGCTCGAAATTAATACTGGGATGTGGTCCTTAAGTACGACGGGGGCAACATAAGCCCTCACCTAGCATTGGGACCCTCACGTTATCCTGGCGAAGGACGCAACCATATGCAACTGCGAGTCCCGCAAGGCAGACGAAACGAAGGAGGGGGGAGCATACTACGACTGGCGTCGGATGCGGCCCTCTTCTCCTCATCCGCGCGCCACAGACATGATGACGGAGCACAGGGCAGCGTGGACAGGTGAGGGCGGACGGACCCGGAGCTCCGTGCAGAAGCCGACGGAGGCGAGATCCCGCTGCGAGAATTTGTGCATGACCGCCGCCCGGGGCCCCCTTGGGATCGATCTTCGGGGACCTCGGCAGGCGGTGGATCTGGAGAAGTTCGGGGGGCCCTGGCATGTCTATACTTTTTTGGTCGCGGGCGGACGCGGATTCGCAGTCGCCGAGCTGAGAGGTCCGGGCCACGGGCCTGTCAAATTAGCAACGCGCAAGCCTAAAAGCACAGCGGCCGAGCCCGCGCTCAGAACCTGCCGCCGGTGGGGCCGCGGGCCGCGGTGGATCTGGATGTGTTCGGGGGGCCCAGGTACAGTCGGGGCCCTGAAGAAGGAACCCTTTTCGTTGGGGAGGGGCTCCGCGTTCCTGAAGTGTTTCGCAGCTTGCCTCAGGTTTTCCTTATGTTTTCGATCGGAAATCGAAGTTTAACTTATGGAAAAAAGGGGCCTCGTTCCTTAGTTAGGGTTCCTTAGGTCAACGCCCCGACTGTATGTCTATACGCACCGCCGTGCAAGAATGGCGACGGTCCCGCCGGCAGAAGGCTGGCGGGGCGTCTGGAGCCAGGGCTGCCGGTGCCGGCCACATGAAGAGTCCCTCCCTCGTTCTGAGGTTTGGCATCGCTCGCGCGTGTGCATTTTTTTTTCTCGGCGAGGACCCTCGAGGAGCCTCTTTGATCATTTAGCGGAAAATGCACGCACGAGATCGAAGAATGCACGGGGAATGGACGTCCGAGCGATGGCGAGGAGGTGCACGCGTTTGATCATTTAGCGGAAAATGCACGCACGAGATCGAAGAATGCACGGGGAATGGACGTCCGAGCGATGGCGAGGAGGTGCACGCGACGATGCACGCTGCCGATTCGCCTCGCAAGGCAGGCGGATCGATTCACACAGGACATGGATGACATCACCACGGGCGTGGGCCCATGCGCAGATGTCGCCTTCCCCGAAGGCAGAAGAACCGCAGAAGCAGAAACTTTCGGGAGTCCGCGCGGAGCTCCTGGATCTGCCCTCGGACCCCGTGCGGCGCCTCAGGGCGCCGCCCTCGGCGCGCTCTCTGCTCGCCAGGGAGGCGTGGCCCGGCGCCGCTCCGAGGAGAAGTCCGCGCAGACCTCCGAGAGCGTGTGCCTACGCCGTCTTCTGTTCCTCGGATCACCGCGGGCGTGGGCCCATGTATCAAGCAGTGGCGAAGCGTCCCGGCTCGCCTACAGCCCTACCGAACAATGTTCTGAGAACCTTTCGTGGTTCTCACGAAATGTTCTCAGAACATTTCCGGCTGGGACCGTCCTGTTTTAACACGTCGGGAATACGTGCTAAGAACCTTGTTTTTGTTCTCAGGGCATCTTTGGGTTCTGGGAACATCTCGTGGTAGGACTACAGGAATGCCGGGACGGTCCGTCCCTGCTCACATGTACAGATGTCCTCGCCCTCCCCCCTGGGGGTGCCCGCGGGCCGTGGGGCCCCGCGCCTCCAGGGGAGGGCGCGGGCGCGCGCGACCTCCGTGACGCGCCCGCCGCCGGCCTCCCACGCGCACCCCGCCCTCGCCGGCTCCCGAGCCACCGCGCCGCTGCCGCAGGGCGACGGGTAGGGGCGCAAGAAGTGGCATTCATAAACATAAAAACTCGGAGGCCCGCGCGGATTTCTCGGATCGGCGCTGGACCCCCTCCCTGGCGCGCGGAGCGCGCCAGGGGCGGCGCCGGACGCGCCGCCGGGGGGCCCCAGCGCCGATCCGAGAAATCCGCGCGGACCTCCGAGTTTTTATGATTATGCCACTTTTTGTTCCCCTAGAGGGGCAGACATGTGACGGAACGGGCCTCGTGACGAAAGCGTTCGGTTGCCAGGCGGCAGGCACACGACTCTTAGGCCTCCTAGATGGGGTCGGAGTAGATGGGGTCGGAGGATCGCGCAGCATCGCCGATGCATCGGCGATGCGGCTCGATGAGGGGCCCAATTTTCTTCATGCCGACGTCGCGCGGATGTATCGCCGATGTCGCGAGTACATGGCCGATACATCGCCGATGCATCGGCGATGCATCGCCGCATCGGCGATGCGGTGAGATCCTCCGACCCCATCTGCTTGGACAAGACTGTGTCTTCAGCCCTCCTCCTTCTCCTCCTCCGTTTTCTCCTCCTCCTCCTCCTCCTTCTCCCCCTCCCTCCTCCTCCTCCTCCTCCTCCTCCTCCCTCCTCCTCCTCCTCCTCCTCCTCCTCCTCCTCCCCCATCTAGGAGGCCTCCAGTCACACGACCACCGTCCGGGGCGACGCTGTGGGGGGATCGGCCCCGGGAGCAGCGCGCCGGCCCCCAGAAGCGCTCGCGGAACACCCAATCTGGGGGCCCGGGAGCCCACCCCGCCCAGGACCCCTGCTTTCGGCCTCGCTCGGACGGGTGCCTTTTTTCCCGGCGAGGGCCCTCGAGTAGCATCTCTGATCATTTAGCGAAACATGCGCGCACGAGATCGAAGAACGCACGGGGAATGGACGTCCGAGCGATGGCGAGTATCGCCGAGGCGTAGCCGATGCCAGCTCGATGTTCCCCCCCCCTTGAGCCGGTCACCCCCCCCTACGCTCCCCTCGCACCAGGAGAGGCAGGAGGAGGAGGAGGAGGAGGAGGAGGAGGAGGAGGAGGAAGAGGAGGAGGAGGAGGAGGGAGGTTACAGGGAGGAGGGGGCGGGGATCGTGGACCCGGGCTTCTGGGTGTCTTCGCACCTTCCTGGGCCTTCAATGGTGGCATTTCGTTTCCACGGCCGGGTCCTCCCGCAATTCCGGTCAGAGCGCACCCCTGGAACCATGGCAGGCCAGCCACAATTGGGGGAGCCGCGGCCCCCACCCCCCTGGGGGACCCATCGATTTCGACACCCCTCTCGAGAGGTCGTCGATGCGATGGGTTCCCCCAGGGGGGGGTAAGGACCACAGCTCCCCCAGTCGTGGCTGGTCGGCATGGGTGCGCTCTGACCACTGGGCCCGGACCGTGGGCGGGGAGCGCCGAGGTCGGGGGAGCCCAGGTCGGGGCCGGCTCGCAGCGGCGATCGCAGCGGCGCCTGCCGTCGACTGTTCCGCTGCGGCCAGGGCCCGTTGCTCAGCGCCGTCGCGGCGGCGGCCCCGGCGGCGAGCTATTTCCTGCGAGCTGTCGGCGTGCTTGGCATCGCTCGGACGTGTGCATTGCTTCTCCGCGAGGGCCATCGAGGAGCATCTCTGATCGTTTAGCGGCAGATGCATTCGCGAGATCGAAAGATGCACGGGGAGTGGACGTCCGAGCGATGGCGAGTTTCCTGCGAGCTGTTGGCGTGTCGCTCGGCGGGAGGCGAGGAAGCGAGCTCGGGGCGTCGACGCTTGGGAACGGAGGCGCGGGCCGTGTGCTGGGGCCGAGGCTTGGCGGGCCAGAACTGGCGGGCATGCGCGCTGAGCAAAAGTTTGGCATCGCTCGGACGTGTGCATTTCTTCTCCGCGAGGGCCCTCGAGGAGCATCTCTGATCATTTGGCGGAAAGTGCACGCACGAGATCGAAAAAGGCACGGGGAAGGGACGTCCGAGCGATGGCGAGAAAGCTCCTCATTGGAATCGCGTTTTGGGGCCCGGGATCGGCGCGCAGCTGCCCTGGCAACGCCAGGAGAGGGCGCGTGCACCGATCCTGGGCCCAGGACGGGCCCGGCCTGGCCAGGGTCGGTGTGTGTGTGTGTGTGAATGTGTGTGTGTGTGTGTGTGTGTGTGTGCGTGTGCGTGTGCGTGTGCGTGTGCGTGTGCGTGTGCGTGTGCGTGTGCGTGTGCGTGCGTGCGTGCGTGCGTGTGCGTGTGCGTGTGCGTGTGCGTGTGGGGGCCAAGCCTTCGCAGACGGCGGCGGGGCTCCGGAGAAGGCTTCAAGGGCTTCTCGGAAGGCTGGAAGCCTGATGGGCCTCCTGAGAAGGCCCGCCCCCTCTGCCGTTGCCCCTTGGGCACGCAGCCGAGCTCGGCGGACGCACCTGCACGCCCTGCGCGCAGCTGGACCCACGCCGATCCTGGGTCCAGGATGACCATGCCCGAGGACGGGGGACCTCGTCGCCGCAGAGAGGGGGAGGACGGGGGAGGGGGACGGGAGGGGGAAGGAGGGGGGCGGCGGAGGAGGGGAGGGGGCGAGGAGGGGGTGCGGTGGGGGGGATGGAGGGGGCTCTGCGCTCAGCCAGCCCAGGCCTCCAGCAGCGCTTCCTCCTCTCCTGCCCCCTCCCCCTCCCTAAGCACCCGAAAAGAGCGCTCAAATTTGAACATCTCCCGAAAACGCCAGAAAAGTTAGAAAAAAGTCGAAACGTCGAGAAGTCGAAAAGTTCCCCCCCCCCCCCCCGGCGCGCAGCTGGACCCACGCCGGGCGGCGCCCGCGGTCGCCCCCCCCCCCCCGCCCCGCGCCGCGCGTGCGGCGCGGCGCGGCGGCGGCACCGATGGCGCCCCCGGGCGCCCGCGGCAGGCTGGCGGCGCGGTCCGTGCGCCAGGCCGTCGTCGTCGTCGGCGCCGCCGTCGTCGCCGCCGTCGTCGTCGTCGTCGTCGTCGTCGTCGGCGCCGCCGTCGTCGCCGTCGTCGGCGGCGGCGGCGGGGGAGTGTGGTGGAGGGGGATCCGCGACGCCTTACCTCCTCCGAGTGTCCATGCGGCACTCGGAGGGGCCCTCCTCAATCATCCACCCCCTGTCTGTGTCTCCTCCACCCCCTTCCTCCATCTTCCCCTTCCTACTCCTCCTCCTGCTCCTCCTCCTCCTCCTCCTCCTCCTCCTCCAAGATGCGGACCGTGTCAGCTGATGTCTCCTCCTCCTCCTCCTCCTACTCCTCCTCCTCCTCAGGCTAAGGCTGCGGACCTGCCTGTGCAATGCACTGGGGCCATCGTTCCCCATCATCCTTCTTCCTCCCTCCTCTTCCCGTCCCCTCCTTTTCCCTTGCCGTTCGCGCGCGGTGGCGCGCGGTGTGCGCCTTTGAGGAGGGCCAGGGAGGGTCGAGGCCCGAGTGTCGAAGCTTCAATTTTGGGGGGCGCTCCTGGGCCTCCGGGCGCCTCCAGGCTCTCGCGTCCGTGGCCGAAGTTGGGGCGCCGCTTGGCGAACCGCGCACAGGCAGGCGGGAGAGAGGAGGGCGGCCGCGGAGGGGGCAGAGAGCACGGCGGCGCGCCCGCCGTCCTGGACATCCGACGAGTTTCCTGTCTGTGCAACCCGCGGCCCCAAGGGGGTCCCGACCACCTTCCCGGGGGGCAGACGTCCGCCCCGGATCTGTTTTTGATGGTCGAACATGCGAAGAGGACCACCAGAGGCCGAACATGCGACGCACATCGTCGGATGTATGGGATCGTCGCCGCCGCCGCCGTCGCCGTCGCCGACGCCCGCCAGCGTCCGCCGCCGCCGCCGTCCCCGACGCCACCGCCGTCGTCGTTCGCCATCGTCCGTCGTCGCCGCCGCCGTCGCCACCGCCGGCCGCCGCTGCCGCCGCCCGCCCCCTGCAGCTGCCGCCGTCCGCCCGCCGCCGTCGTCGTCCCCCGTCGCCGCCGCCGTCGTCCGCCCCCGCCGCCTTCCGCCTTCCGCCGCCGCCGCCGCCGCCGCGGCCGCCGCCCGCCGCTGTCGGCAGGTGTCTCTGGCGGCCGCCGTCGCGGCGCTCGCCGCGGCCGCCCTCCGCGCGGCGGCGGCGCGGCCCGGGGCGTTTGTGTTTGCGCCTGGCGGCGAGGAGCGGGGCACCAGGCGGGCCGCGGTCGGCGGGGAGCGTCCCCCCTCGGCATCGCTCGGGCGTGTGCATGTTTGCTCGGCGAGGCCGGCGCCAGAAGACGAGGACCATTCTCTGCATACACATGCTCAAGGTCCATGTATGATCAGAGGGCGTCGCGGGTCAGGACTTGCTAGATTGCGTCGTCGGTTTCAAAAAAAATGAGGACCCCCCCCTCGGCATCGCTCGGGCGTGTGCATGTTTGCTCGGCGAGGCCGGCGCCAGAAGACGAGGACCATTCTCTGCATACACATGCTCAAGGTCCATGTATGATCAGAGGGCGTCGCGGGTCAGGACTTGCTAGATTGCGTCGTCGGTTTCAAAAAAAATAGGACCATTCTGGAGCATGCTGGAGCATCTAGGCCAACAAGAAGCACGCGCGAAACCAAACAGAATGCCTGGGGAGAGGACGTCAGAGCGATGGCAGGCTCAGAGGAGGGCGAGGTGAGAAGTTCGCGGTCCATTCCACGACAGGCGCTGGCGAGGGCCGGCTCTGTCGCTGCTCACCAAGAGAAGGCTGGTGCGACCATGTGCGCTGCATCTCAGGGCTAGTTGAGACAGCGGCAGGTGGCCTTTGAGGCGCGCCCTCGTCGCCACGGCAGGACACATATTGGAAAACTGCTGCGCTTGGACCCCCGGGAGGGCTCGGGGACCGATTTTGAGCCCCACGGCGCGGGGCCCGCGCCGTCCATGTCGCGGCAGTCATCGTACACATATAACGGGGGACCGGACCCGGGGGCCGCTGGGCCGCGACCCCAACTACAAATGAGTGTGCTAGGGCCCCCAGTGCGCTTCTGGGGCGCCCAGGGCCCTGCAAGATCGCCCGAAGATGGCCCAGGACTCAGAAATCGCCCTTCCGGATCACCAAAACGACCAATGACGGTAGAAATGACCCCAGAATTAGCCCCAGACTCTTCAAGAGGCCTCCCAGACGCCCCAAGAGGCCTCCCAAGAGCGCCCGAAGGTTTTTGAAGGATTTTCGATTTTTCGCCTTTTCAGTTTCCCGACGCTCCACCCCAAGACAGCTCCAAGAGAGGCCCAAGAAGGGTAACGCGAACCCAGAAGTGCCCGGAGCGTCGTAGTCTTTGAGACGCCCAAGACGGCCTGAGAGGGCCCCAAGACGGGTCGAAGGAAGAGAGGCCCAAGAAGGAGAACGCGAGCCCAGAAGTGCCCGGAGGGTCGTGGGACGGCACACGTGAGCCTGAAGACGCCTCCAGAGAGGCTCAAGACAGCTCCAGGAGACCCCATAGAACGCCTCCGACAACCAACCTTGGGGCCCTCTTGGCGCTCTCTTCGGCCGTTTTGGGGCCCTCTTGGGTGCCTCTTCCGCAGTCTTGGGGCGGTTTTCGGTGCGTCTTGGGACGTTTTGAAGCGTCGGACAGCCGAAAAGGCGAGAAGGCCAACAAACATTCAAACACCTCATGAATACCACAGATGCTTATCTCTCGGGGCTCTCTCTGCAGGCCTTTTGGAGGCCTCTTGGGGCGCCTTGGAGGTCTCTTGGGCCGTTTTGTTCCTGCATTGGGTACCCGAGTTGAATAGAGCACTGCGGTCTCCACCTGCTCCCGCCTCCCTCCTTGCCGCATCCTGTCTCCTCTCTCCTCTCTCTGACCTCGCTCCTTTTTGCGTGCCAGCTTGTCTCCTACCTCACCATCCCTGTGGGGTTACGATCCGCGAAACAGTCGCCTCTTTCGAGGGCTGCTGGGGGGTCCAGCGGAGCGACGCTTTACCCAGACCACCAGGAGACCTCGCCATCCTTGTGAGGCTGCGATCCTCGAGACCGCCACTTTCGAGGGCTGCTGGGGGGTCCAGTGGAGCGACGTCGTCCAGCGGAGCGACGCCTTGTTACACAGACCACCAGGAGACCCCGCCATCTTTGTGGGGCTGCGATCAGAGAAATTGTCGCCACGTTCGAGGGCTGCTGGGTGGTCCAGCGGAGTGACGTCGTGCCCAGATTCAAATGAGACTTCGCCAACCCCTCGGGGGCTGCGATCTGCGAGACCGTTGCCACTTTCGAGGGCTGCTGGGGGGTCCAGTGGAGCGACGTCGTCCAGCGGAGCGACTCCTTATTACCCAGACCACCAGGAGACCCCGCCATCTTTGTGGGGCTGCGATCTGAGAACTTGTCGCCATGTTCGAGGGCTGCTGGGGGGTCAGCGGAGTGACGTCGTGCCCAGATTCAAATGAGACTTCGCCACCCCCTCGGGGGCTGCGATCTGCGAGACCGTCGCCACTTTCGAGGGCTGCTGGGGGGTCCAGCGGAGCGACGTCGTCCAGCGTAGCGACGCCATATTACCCAGACCACCCGGAGACATCGCCATCTTTGTGGGGCTGCGATCTGAGAGCTTGTCGCCACGTTCGAGGGCTGCTGGGGGGTCCAGCGGAGTGACGTCGTGCCCAGATTCAAATGAGACTTCGCCACCTCTTCGGGGGCTGCGATATGAGAAACTGTCGCCACTTTCGAGGGCTGCTGGGGGGTCCAGGGGAGCGACGTCCTACCGTAGGAGTCCTACCCAGAATCAACTGGGACTTCGCCAACCATGCGGGGCTGCGATATGCGAAGTTGCCGCCACGTTCGAGGGCTGCTGGGGGTCCAGCGGAGTGACGTCCTACATATGAAGATGAGACCTCGCCGTGCGTGGGATGCTGCGATCTGCGAAACGGTCGCCACTTTCGAGGGCTGTTCGGGGGTCCAGCGGAGTGACGTCTGTCTTACCCAGATCCACATGCAACTTCGCCATCCCTGGGGTTCCTGCGGAGTAACGTCCTACCCAGATTGATCCATCCTTGATCGGCTGCGATTTGCGAAGCAGTCGCCACTTTCGACATCAGCTGGGGGTCCAGCGGGGTGACCTCGACATCCGTGGGGGGCTGCGATCTAGTAGCTGCTGGGGGGTTCAGCTGAGCGGCGTCCTACCCAGATTCAAGTAGGACCTCGCCATCTTTGTGGGGCTGCGATATGCGAAGCCGTTGCCACTTTCGGGGGCTGTTGGGGAGTCCAGCGGAGTGACGTCCTCCTCGGATTCAAGTGAGACCTCGCGATCCCTGGGGGCGGCTGCGATCTGCGAAAGTGCCGCGACTTTCGAGGGCTGCTGAGGGTCCAGCGAAGCGACGTCCTACCCAGATTCAAATGAGACCTCGCCACCTTTGGGGGGCTGCGATCTGCGAGATTGCCGCCACTTTCGAGGGCTCCTGGGGGGTCTAGCGGAGTGACGTCCAACCCATATTCAAATGAGACCTCGCCATCCCTGGGGGTCTGCGATCTGCGAAGCAATCGCCACTTTCGGGGGCTGCTGGGGGGTCCAGCGGAGCGACGTCCTGCCCCGATTCGAGTGAGAACTCGCCATCCCTGGAGGGCTGCGATCTGCGAATCGGTCGCCACTTTCGGGGGCTGAGGGGGGGTTCAACGGAGTGACGCCCTACCCAGAGTCAGAGGAGACCTCGCCATCCTTGGGGGGGGCTGCGATCTGCGATATTGTCGCCTCTTTCGAGGTTTGCTGGGAGGGTCCGGCTGAGCGGCGTCCTACCCATATGCAATTGAAACGTCGCCACCCCTGGGGGGTTCTGCGAACCTGTCGCCGCTTGCGAGGGCTGTTCGGGGGTCCAGCGGGGAAGCCTCTGACCCAGACTCAAACGGAACCTCGCCGTCCGTGTGGGGCTGCGATCTGCGAAACCATCGCCGCTTTCAAGGGCTGCGGGGGGGTACAGCGGAGTGACGTCTTACCCAGACCACGAAGAGACCTTGCCATCCCTGGGGGGGGGGCTGCGATCTGCGAGGGTGCCGCCACTTTCACGGGCTGCTGGGGGGGTCCAGCGGAGTGACGTGCTACCCAGATTGAAACGAGACCTCGCCATCTTTGGGAGGCTGCGATTTTCGAAATTGTCGCCACTTTCGGGGGCTGCTGGGGGGTGCGATCTGCGAATCTGTCGCCAGTTTGGAGAGTTGTTGGGGGTCCTGCGGAGTGACGTCCTACGCGGACTACGCCATCCCCTGGGTCCAGCGGAGTGACGCCATGTTTTTGTTATCTTGGCAACGACCGTGGACAATCTCCTGATGATGTGCGGCCCCGGCCTGGATTTCCTGGCCCGCGGGCCGCCCGCAAACCTGGCAGCGCGCCTTCGAGCGTTTAGCCTCCGCACTGACAAGTGCAGGAAGGAAGCAGAGAATTTGGCGGGCGAGCTAGGCTTCGTTCGCTTCTAACAGTAACTTAAGCAATACTTTGTTCGGGCGCCGCGGCAACATGGCGCAGGCAGCGCTGCATCTTTAGCGCGCTGCCGACAAAAACACCATTCTCCAGCTTCTTTCTGTCACTTTCGTCGTCGTCCTCCGCCCCCTTACCACCTTCCTTCTGCTACTGCCGCGCTCACGGTTCGGCCCCCGGCACGTCCTTTTCGTGCCCGTCGTTCCCGCTCCCATGTCCTCTTCAAGTTTGGGCCATCATTCCTCGTCCTTCTGTGGTTGTCCAATGAATCGTTCCACGTGAGCACATCGCGTGCAGCTTGCACAACATATCACGGCGCCTGCGCCGCCTTTGTTTTGGCAAGTTTAGGCCAACTCCTCTTGTCACTCGATGTAAATGGGCTGGGCACGTCGCAGGTAAGTATCGTTAACAGAAATATGGTCCCATAGGTCTTGCGCGGGACGTCTTGTGCGGGATGTCTTGTGCGGTCTAGTGTGGGTTTTTGTGTTGGGTTCTGGGTGTCGGCTCGCGTTGTACAAGTCGTTGTGTGCGCGTTTTGTGCGCGACCAGTTTTCGCTCGACAGTTGCTTCTGTTAAGAGTAGTGCGCTTTTCAGCGTTCTCAGCCTCGTGGGGGCCCTCGCCAGGCCCTGGGGCCGTCAAGGAGATACTCGGGACGACAAACCGGCCCCTGGAAAAGAGGCGGGGCCCACGTTGACTCGCTGCACGCCTGGGCTTCTCAGCATTTTGGCCCTTCAGACCTCCAGGGGCTCATGGGCCGACGAGGACCTCTGGAGACCTCGTGAGACTTCCAGAGGCCTTGCGACCTTCTGGCCTCTCAGGTCCTGGCGCCAGGCACGCAGCGGGGCCACTCACTCGCAGAAGGCATGTGTTCTGCACGAACGAAATGTGTACGGGAAGAATGGGTACAATGCCCAACAGCCGTTCTTGCCCATTCTTAACAGGACTCGCTGTCCGCGCCGCCGCGGCCTGTGTCCACTCGAGACAGAAAGCCGCCTGCCCAACAGCGCCCGTTGTTGGTTTGGGACAACATTTGTTGTTGGGCTTTGTACCAATTTTGGCCGTACCCATTTCGGGCGTCCAAAGTTTTGGAAGTGGAAGAAGAGAAGGGAGGGAGGAGAGAGGGAAGGAAATGGGGAGGAGGGATGGAGGAGGGAACAAGGGGAGGATCAGCAGGACCGGCAGTGTTGCGAAGGAGGGAGCGAGGAGAGAGGGATAGAGGAGGGACGGAGGAGGAGGAGGAGGACGAGGAGGAGGATCAGCACGGATTCACAATTGGGTCCGCGATGGGTCCCCATTGGTAAGGCCTTGGAGTCGGGCCATACGACTGTGTGGCCCAACACGCGGCCCAACTCCAGAGAGGGTAAAGAAACCCGCGGGCCTATAACTACCTGAAGCTTCTCTGGCTCAGGGGAGGAGGAGGAGGAGGAGGAGGAGGAGGAGGAGGAGGAGGAGGAGGAGGAGGAGGAGGAAGGAGGAGGAGGAGGAGGAGGAGGAGAGGAGGAGGAGGGAGGAGAGGACGAGGAGGACGGGCGTCCAAATGTGTGTGCGCCCCCCGCCCCCCCCCTGGCAGGGTGCTGCTGACCCGCCGGGCGGCGGGCACGGAGGCGGGCTCGGGCAAGAAGGCCCGCGCGCCTCCGTCGGAGGAGGGCCCTCGGCGTGCCTATCTCAGGTGGGAAAGAAACACACACAGAAGGAGGAGGAGGAGGAGGAGGAGGAGGAGGAGGAGGAGGAGAGGAGGAGGAGGAGAGAGGAGGAGGAGGAGGAGGAGGAGGAGGAGGAGGAGGAGGAGGAGGAGGAGGAGGAGGAGAGGAGGGGGAGGGGGAGGGAGGAGGAGGAGGAGAGGAGGAGGAGGAGGAGGAGAGGAGGAGGAGGAGGAGGAGGAGGAGGAGGAGGAGGACACAATTCATCGTCGAGTCCCAGGAGAAGATGGGAAGACATGGGAAGTGGGGGGGAGACAAAGATACCGAGAAAGTATGGGCAACTATGGGGAATATTATTATTTGTGTGCATTTATTTGTGTGTCCTGGGGCCCCTTCAATATCAGCTCTCGGAGGTCCGCGCGGGTCGGCGACCTCTGCGCCCTTGGCGGCGCCTCCGGCGCCGATCCGAGGAAGCCGCGCGGAGCTCCGAAAGTTCATGTTGAAGAGGTCGTCGCTCCTTCCGTTAATTCTGGAATGCGCTTGGACATGAACATATATATATATGTATATAGTTATATATATAACTATATATATACACAGGACTGCATTGGCGTTTCGCGCCATGCATTTCGGTCCTTAAGCTTTGGCATGCAGGCAGGGAGGCAATAGGGTGAAACGGAGCGTTCAGCGATAGCTCTTTTTTTGGGGGGGGGCATCGTCGTTGTAATAATGTTTTTCGTTATTTTCTTCCATGCTTCATTATCCTCTTCATTCTCGCCCTACCCTGCGAGTTCGTCCGCATCCTCCGTTTTTTCTTGGCGGAGGCTCATCCTAGGAGAGTCTCTTGCGGGCCTCACGAAAGTTGTTAATGGCTCATTGGGGCCTTCTGAAGGCCTCCTGGGTTCCTTCTGGGGGTCTCTGGAAGCTTCCCCGGGCCACCCTGCTTCCAACTGCGGCCTCCTTGAACGACTGGGTCACGATTTGGAATGATTCGAGAGCGATTTGGGCCGTCATGGGGCTCTCTTCGGGCCACATTGGGGCCCTGTTGGGCCGTTTTGGGACTCCTCTTGGACTGCCTGGAAGCCCTCTTGATTCAATTTGGGGCGATTCTCTGATCTCCTGGGCGGTCTCGGACGTCTGGAAGACCGAAGAACAGACCATTCCCAAAGTCATACAACAACCATCGGAAGTACATGTTTTTTTGTTCGTTTCGAATGCCTCTTGGGAGTCTTTTTTGGGTCGTCTTCGGGCGTCTGGTGGGTGTCTGGGGCCTCTGTGGGCTCTCGCGGGGGCGTCCAGCCGCCCTCCTGACCGATTCGGGCCCGAGCTACCAGAAGCCCCATCTCATGGAGGACGTGACGGACCTCTGGAACCCATGCGCCCTGACGAGGCGCCGTGGGTCAGAGTTATCGAAGAGGGCTGCCAGCTGGTTCAAGGAGGCCCCCGAGGTGGGCCGGAGAAGGTTTATGGATCAGCTGGAGACGGTGGAACGGTCCGACCCGAGGTTCGAGGCGATGCTCGTGCAGGGGCAGGCCTGGAAGGGGAAGGTCTGGAGCCGTATGGATCCGCCGACCAAGGCGAACTACTAGGAGGCAGCGGCGTCGCAGTGGGCCAAGTGGATCGACACCGAGTCCGTGGAGGTGCCGCTGGAGAAGGAGTCCGCCGAGCTCGAGGAGTCGATGAAGCGCGAGGGCAAGGGCAACTACATCATGAGCACCCGGTGGGTTTTGACGGACAAGAACGACCCGCTGCGGACGGAGACGAACAACCTACCGCTGAAGGTGAACGCGAGACTCGTGTTCAACAGTGGCAACCCAGGGCGATCTGACGAGAAGGCGAACGCTCGCGTGGACACCCCCTGCGCGACGACGCAGTCGGAGATGATCCTGGCGCAGGTGACAGCGTCTCACCTGGAGTGGAAGTTCGTGTCCAAGGACGTGAGCGTCGCCTTCCTCAAGGGTGAGGTGGACCAGCGCGGCCTGGTGATCCACGCCACTCTGCATGGACCTGCGCTCGCTGTTTTCCCACGAGGTCGGCTTGCGAGAGTGCGGAAAGGCGTGTTTGGACTAATTACCGACGGCGCCGAGGCTATGGTACTTGAAGGTGCTCTCAGCGGCGCGCAAGCTGGGACTGGAGGCCTTTCGCTCGGACTCCGCCTTCCTGGTGCTGCACGACCCGGAGGCGAAGAAGCGAGGACCCGACAGCCTGTGGCGCTGCGCATGCGCTCACGTGGACGATTTCCTCTGGACGGGAAACGACGGGATGGCGAAGGTGATGGGCGCTCTGGGCAAGGAGTTTTGCTTCGGCGGTGAGGAGTACGATGACTTCGTGTTCTGCCGCCGCCGCTTCAAACGACAGCCAGGAGGAGCCACATCGACATGATGGGGTGTGCGGCCGGCCTGGAGCCTGCGACTGTGCCCAGGAGTCGGCGCGCGGCGGCGCTTTTGCCGATGAACGCCATGGAATGGCAGCAGCATCAGCAGGTGGTTGGGGATATCAACTGGCTCGTGACGAAGCTGCGCGTGGACCACTCGCATGACTTGGCGGTGCTACAGCGAGAAAAGGGCCGCAAGAAGGTCCGCGGTTGTCGGCGCTGATTCGGGCGAACCAGCTGCTGAGGGGGCTGGAGCGCGACTCGACGTTCAATCTCGTGATGCGGCCGATCGACTTCAGGCGCTTCGGCCTGGTGGCGGTGTCCGACAGCTCGCTGGGCAACGTTATGAATGACGGGGCGGTGCTGCAGTCGGACCCAGCGATGGAGAAGATCGGCACGCAGGGCGGATACCTCATCAGGTTCGCGGACAAGGAGCTCGTGGACGGCGCCGTTGGCCGGTTTTAGCTGCTGGAAGCTAAGAGTCATAAGCGGAAGAGAGTGGCGAGAAGTTCTTATGCGGCGGAGGTGACCTCTGCGGGCGACGCCGTGGACGTACCCCAAGGAGTGCGCGACCAGATCGCTGAGATGTTGCGCGGCCCCGTGGCAAGGGGCGCGGGCATGTAGCTGTCCGGATGGCAGGTCCCCATGACGGTCGTGACGGACAGCAAGGACGGCCGCGACAGGCTCAACTCGGATGCTGGCGTTGGAAGCTCGGTGCAGAAGTCGGTGAACCTGGAACTGGCCAGTATCAAGGAGATCTTGGACCGGCCACAGACACATGTGTGCTGAACAGACGGGGCCAACATGTTGAGTGACTTGCTCACGAAGGATATGCCAGCGGACCACCTACGAGAGACGCTAGAGTGAGGTACGTGGAGCATCGAGTTCCGCGAGGAAATGGTGAAGACGGCCAGGCGCGTGGCGCGCGAGCGATGGGTAGCGAAGATGAAGGAGCTCAGCCGCGACGGGAGGTTCACGCCGGGAGCGCTGGAGCCGTAGCAGCTCGCTGGCGGAAAAGTGCTCGTGCCTGGTGAGTGACGTGATGGCCCCTCTGTGTCCTCATCTCGCCTCCTGGTGCTGTGCCGAGGCTGGTGCACGTTTGTGCGCTCGCGCATCAGTGAATGCATTGTTCCTCCCTGCGGAGTGCGAACGTCCGATCAGGCCGCAGAGGCAATTTCATTTAATAGCGCTGCTAAGAAGTATCTACAGCGTTACCTGCACGTGATAGGTGCTGTGAGATTTGCATATTCCATATTTGCGGGGCCAATTCTGCAAAGAGTAAAGACCAGTGTCTAAAAACACGCGTCAGATCCAAGACTGGGCCCCCTGCTCGTCTGTTTTAACCCCCTCTCGTGTATCGCGGCGGGCCTGGCCCAGGACGGCTTGAGACAATTGGTTTCCGATTGCAGGACCATTGCTGAGAAGGGTGCGTACCTCCAGCCATGCCAGGATCCGCCGCCAGCCCCCGCTGCGGGGCCAGGAGATACGCCGCTGGAGGCTACACAGTTCCGCATTCCGTTGAATTTCCACGGAGCCCACGAAAGAGGCACACGCGAGCGTGGCGACAGCTCGCAGTTCACAGCCTCTGGCGACGGCGAGGTCTCAGCTGATCTGATTCGGACCTCACTCCGTTGGAGCTCCCAGGAGCCCACGAAAGTGGTGACGGTTTCGCAGTTCGCAACCTCTTGCGACGGCGAGGGCTCGTCTGATTTGTAGAGGACGTCACCTTGCTGGACCTCCCAGGACTTGGCATCGTTCGGACGTGTGCACTTTTCCTTCGGCGAGGGCAATCGAGGAGCATCCTTGATCATTTGGCGAAACAGCCACGCACGAAAATGACAAAAACACAGGGAATGGACGTCCGAGCGATGGCCAGAGGAGCCCACGACAGTGGTGACAGCTTCGCAGCTCGCCGCCCCACCCCAGCGCCGTCGAGGAGGCAGGGTCGCAGGCAGGTGGGAGGCAGGGCGGCAGGCAGGTAGGAGGCAGGGTCGCAGACTCTTGGCATCGCTCGGATGTGTGCATTTTTTCTCGGCGGGGACCATCGAGGAGCATTTTTGATCATTCAGCGCGAAATACACGCACGAAATCGAACAATGCACGGGGAATGGGCGTCCGAGCGATGGCGAGAAGAGGGGGGCGGGAAGGAAGGAGCTGCGACAGCAGCGCTCTCATCGAAAAGAGAACCCGACGCAGGAGGGTTGGGAATCGCATGTTTGTGCGAGAGCGCTCGGAGCTCCGCGCGGATCTCTTGGATCGGTGCTGGGCCCCCCTCCGTGGTTGACCACGCTGGCCGCCTGGTGCTCGGAACACCAGAACCCGATATGTTTCACAGCGGGCACGAGGCTCAAGAACACTGTTAGCTTTGGAGGGGGTACCATTCTGTTCTTCGCCGTTGGGCGCTCCACCTTGGAAGGCTTTTTCGTTCCGGATGTCCCCATGGGGCCTTGAGCTCTCGGCGAAGGGGCCTGTGTTGTTGACCGGCGTGCTTTTGACCTTGCTTCGGCTGTAACGTGACAGCCTGCCTGCTTCATACTCATACCAGCTTCTTCTGGGCGGCCAGAAGTGAGTGACGGCGGGGGAGACGGAGTCTCCTCAGGCGCAGGGAAGCGGAGACGGGGTAACAGCAGACGGGGTAACGGTGAACGGCCTTTTCGAGGCAACAAACGCGCATTTTGTTGCAGTGCAGTTTTTGTAGATTTTCGCGTTCAGTACAGCACCTGCCACTTTGTCTGAGTTGGAGATTTTCGGATGCTGCGCTGCAACTTGTTGTTCGGGGCTCTCTGTTACCTGGTCTGTGGGGCTTGTTTGCGGTTTATCCGCAACTAGTTGCAGAAAACATGCAGTGCAGAATTCTCGCGTTGCAGCACAATTTCTATGCAGTTTTTGTTCCAACCGTTGCAGTCTCCCCGTCTGGATCCCATGGTGGGTCTGTTACCCAGTTGAGATGTTACCCGGTTTAGTCTTCCGCACCGGCCCGATTTGCCCTCGTCAGTATCAGTATACCCACTCGTCGGCAACGTGTTGCCTCCTCTTTGCACCATTGGCCGTGTGTGTTCCCACCCAGACGGCAGGGCTGCGCTCCAGAGTCTCGGCAAGCGACAAGCCAGGAATCGGTTGAGCATTCGCTTGGATTTCTGAGGGCTCCCAAAGCGGAGCTCCATCGGAGGCTTCGGAGTTTGTGAATTTTCGACGACGATTTCGGCCGACTTGCGTCACGAATGGCGTAATAGGACAGCGAGCAGTCGAGGCACGCACAGTTTGTCATAATGCAAGGCAGAGGAGAATATTGAGCATGCTGCGTGGTCTACAGGGCCATCGCCAGCACAAGGGATACTGACTGAGAACGGAGTGTTTGGACAGTGTCGGCGTGGCTTGGCACATGAGGGAGGAGTGCGCCACGATTGCTTCAGAGAGCTTCGAGATGTACGCTTAACCAACTCAAACAGCACGAGCAAGGTTCGTCCGATGGTTCGAAGCAGAAAAAGTTGTAGCATATTCTGACGCTGGGCCTGATGCTAGTAGGCTCGTTTACCCCCTCCAAGCAGCGAGCGCACCTTCTCCAGGAGACGTTGGTTGTGTTGTAGACCTGGCGTCTACCATCCCATGGTGCCTTGCCGTTCTCGCGTCGGGTGCTGGGTGCTGCAATTTTGGCTCATCTAGTCGCGTTCGTTTTTTTTGTTCTTCAGAGAGAGTGCGGCACATTGCGCCCTGGGTCTCGAATTACCCATTGCCAATTGAACAAGTAATACTACGCTCAGTTATATTTACTTGTTTGGCTTGTTGTCTGTCCATACTTGTCCGCGCAGCTTGGCGCGCATACACACATCTATCTCCAGCTGCCTAATTCCTGCCACCGTGCCTGCGCAGCACTCTGGCCTCTTTTCGAGCACCCCCCACAGGGATGCAACGTGCGACATCTCCCGTCTGTATTCTTCGAGGCGCTTTCATGCAGGCTACCTGGGCAGTCTTGGGGCTGTCTTTGGGAAATCTCTTGGGGCTGTCTTGGGAGCCTCTTGGGCCACCTCGGGGCCCTCTTTGTGCTGTCTTGGGCTTGTCTTGTGCCGTCCTGGAGCCATCGTGAGGCTGTCCTGGGCCGTCTGGGGGGCCAATGGAGGCCTACATTTGGCTCTTTTGGAAGCATCTTGATCCGAGCGTTCCGGGAAACTCCAGCAGCTCAAGACCCGAGGAATCTCACAGGTTCTTTTTGAGAAGAAACGATCTTGACATTCCTAGAAGGCCGCTTGGCCTTCTGTTTGGCGTCTTGGAAGCATCTTGAGGCCGAGATGAGATTGCACATATAATTATTGTTTTCGTGTAGGCTGCCGAGTGCGCCTGAAGACTCAGGCGGTCGTGGGCCATCTTCGCGGCCTTGTTGGCCCTCCTAGGCCCTCTTGGAAGCTTTGGAGCCCTCGGAGGGGCCCACGGAAACATCAGGGGACCCATAATCCCTGGGGAATGGCTGAATGTGTAGGCGTTGCCCGAAGTCTGTACGAACGAAATGGGTACGGAAAGAATGGGCACAATGCCCAACAGCAGTTCCTGTTCATTGTGAACGGGGCTCGCTGTCCGCGCCGCCGCGGCCTGTGTCCGTTTTAGACAGGAGGCCGCCTGCCCAACAGCGGCCGCTGTTGGTTTGGGACAACATTTGTTGTTGGGCATTGTGCCCTTTCTTTCCATGCCCATTTCGGGCGTCCAAACGAAGGGGGAGGGGACCCTGAGAAGATTTTCAGAAACCCTACCAGGCAGCAGTTGGCATGATACCACACATCAAACGTGCCAGTTGGCACGGTGGCGAGCTGATAGTTTCGGGCTCGCACTAGCTTCAGCTTACCTTGTGTTGGAGTGTTTGGCTCGGTTTGTCTCTGCTACCCCGATAGTAGATGAGACGAAGTCTGCTCGAGGTTTGCGAAGGCCTTACGGCCGGTGCCGCCGACCCTGAAGACGCCGAAGATGAAAACGAGGGGGGGGGTAGGAGGCGGAGGAGGAGGAGGAGGAGGAGGAGTGAGGGGGGAAGAAAAAGGGTGGAGGAGGCGGATGAGGGAGGAGGAGGGGGGGGAAGGATGAGGAGGAGGAGCAGGAGGAGGAGGAGGAGGAGGAGTGGCGGAGCAGCGAGAGGAATGAGGAGGAGGAGGAGGAGGAGGAGGAGGAGGAGGAGGAGGAGGAGGAGGAGGAGGAGGAGGAGGAGGAGGAGTGGGGGAGCAGCGAGAGGAAGCGAGTAGGAGCAACCAATCCTGGAGGCCTCGGCTCTCGACGGCAATGGGGGAGAGGGCGGGAACAAAACCTTTCCGAACTCTCCGGGCCTTCTTGAGAGTCCTTGTGGGGCTCTTTTGACCCGTCTGAGGGCCCCTTTGACCGTCCTTAGCCGTTCTTGGGCTGTCTTGTGGGGCGTGGGCCGTCTAGGGGCGCTCTTGCAGATCCGTCGTGGCGATCTCCCCTCCTCCAGTGCATCTGCAGAGGGCCCCTCTGTAAAAGCCGCAAACGGGGGATGTTATTTTGACCCGGACCCCCCCCCCCCGGGATCCCCCCCGGGACCCTCCCCCCCCCCCCGGCGGGGAAGGGATCAAAGGGAAGGGGCTCCCTTCGACTCAATGACAGCGTTGTTAATTTCGCTTTGGCTGGGTTGCTTCATTTTGCTTTGGATGGCGCGCTAGAGGACGAGGGCCCAGGGAAAGAGGGGGGGAGCGGCGACGGACCCAGAAAAGAAGACGACGAGTACGTACGAGGACAACAACCACGACGAACAACGCATTCCACACGCCGACAGGGTCGGCAGATATCCTACCTGAGTCACTTGAATGCGTTGGTAGTGTCGTTCGAGACTGCTGTTGAGCTGTCATGTTCTGCAACATTTCGCCAGTATCACGTACTTGATAGGATGTCTCGAGCAGTGCATCCATTAGTTGACCATTCATGCAAATGTGTCCATTGCTCCATTGATGCGCAAGCAAGCGCACTCGGTGGCTTCGGTCAATATTCGATGCGGCAAGTCGTATCATGTTGAATTACGGTCAGTGTTGTTGATATCTCGTGATGTGCCGCTCAGTCCAGTATGAGGAAAAACCGACTGCGGACGATGACACCTTGCATCCCAGTACAATCAGAGTGCTTGCGATGTAGCAATCGGCGGCGAGCCCTGGGGAAGCGAGAAGGGGCGGGCTTTCTCAGAAGGCTCGGAAGTCTCCTGGCCTTCTGAGAAGTTTTCTAAGCCCTCCCCGGAGACACATAACACTTCTGAGAAGGCCGGAGGGTTTCTGAGAAGCCCCTCTGCCTTCTGAGAAGGCCTCCTCCTTCTCACTTCCCCTCTTCGCTTGCCGCCGAAGTAGGTCGCACAGTCCGTAGACCACACAGTCTCAAGGTTGAGGGTTGTGAGGTTTGCGTGCCAGTCTTCGCTCTTCGCTCACATATTATCAATCGCGCCGCCGTCTTTCTGCATGTGCATGTGGTCTCCGCTATGACATTGGCTTGTCAGATTTCCGCCGTCGTCGACGATTCAGACTTCGACCTGGGTGGCACACCACCATCGGCTGACCCTGACAAGGAGCCGACTCTTGGGGACGGCTCGCGGCATCGCAGACTCTGAAGATGTCCAGGACTGCAGCCTGATCGAAACTCAGGCTGAAGGTCTGGGCTTCGCCTCGGCTTGCCGCGCCCGCAGGGT